CCATTCCTACACCGCAAAGCACACCCTCCTTGAGCTGCAGCGGCAGAACGGAATTCCACAGCATCGCCTGATCTGCGACGTTGCAGCAGACAAGGTGGAATTCAACCCTACATATGTTAGACCCGCCTTTACGAACAGCGAAAGGCCATCACCGATTTCCTGATGTTACAAGCGATAAAGGTACTCCCCTGTGTAACTTAGAGTCAGCCCTTGGCAGCTCATGCGTGACACCTGCCGCTTGCTCAGGCCCTTTGTACGTCAGGCCACGCTATTCGTGAGTCGGCAGGACTATGGGATGAACGACGTCATTCCTCTGTTGCACGTCCTGGAACAAATGCTGTTAACAATGGCTGGTCAGGATGCGGTAGACGTGGCGCACAGATCTCAACGCCACATGACCCCTGTGGGGGCAGGACAGGAAGAAGAGGAGGAGGTAGAGGAGGACATTGGTGCTCAGGAATTATTGAGTGAAATGGGTGGTTTTTCCACTCAGCGGACAGGAGTGGAGGAGCAGGAGCATCTGGTAGAGGAGGAGGAGGAGACAGAGGACCCAGACGCACCGTGGCAGTATGCTGTGGAGATGGAGGCAGGGAGTCCCTCGCATTCCTTGGCACAAATGGCCCATAGCATGCTCGGTTGCTTGCGTAGCGACAGCCGAATAATAACCATCAGACAGAGGGATGACTTTTGGCTGTCCACCTTGTTGGACCCTGGCTACCGTTCAAAAATGGTGGCCTTTTTCACACCTGCTGAGAGGGAGGCCAAAAATAACGTACTATAAAAACCACCTATGTAGTCAGTTGGTCTCTGCCTTTCTGCGCCAACGTCCATCCTCAGACACTGTGGGCCCTGTGCGCTCGCGTTCCGCTGCCATGGCAGCAGGGGAGGGGTGGGGGTGGTAGGAGCAGTGGCAGCTCCACCAGCAGCGGCTGCCTCAGTCTGCAGTCGATGATGAGTAGCTTTCTTCACCAGCGCAGTGAGGAAACTACTAACCAGCCGCAGCAGCAGCAGCATCAGGTGGACCTGGAGCAGGACCTCAAACAACAGGCTTGGGCCTACTTGGACAGCACCCTGCCAACCGAGGTAGACAATCCCCTTGACTACTGGGCAACGAAACTTGACCTTTGGCCCCAACTAGCTGAATTTGCCCTTGAAAGGCTGTCATGCCCGGCCAGTAGCGTGGCATCGGAGCGCGTGTTTAGTGCGGCAGGAGGTATTGTAACTCCGCGGAGGACACGACTGTCCACCCAAAGTGTGGAGAGACTCACGTTTGTGAAAATGAATCAGGCGTGGATTAGTCTGGATTTCAAACCACCAGTTCCTGACACAACTGACTAAATCCGCCATGAATCATGCCCCAAACATGTTATTAGGGACAAATGGAAGACCTCCACCTGATCCGTACATTTGTATATATATATTTATTTGAGAGGCTGCTGGTCGGCCGACTCATGTTTTGCACATTTTTAATGACTTATACTCTGCAGGTCGGGCCCCTCATGAATTGGGGTTTTTAAATTATTTATACTTCGCTGGACGACCGTCACATGAATTGAACCTTTTTAATGACTTATACTCTGCTGGTCGGGCCCCTCATGAATTGGTGTTTTTAAATTATTTATACGTCGCTGGACGACTGTCACATGAATTTAAACTTTTTAATTATTTATAGTCGACCAGTTCCAGACCGATGGAATAGCAATTTTTTTTAAATATTTATTTGACACGTGTTGTCCCATCTCATCAATGAGGTGGACTGTTTATTTTTATTGGCCACGGTTTGGGCCCCCTCCTGTTTCTTACATTGTTAACTTGTTGTATCGGTCACGGTTTGGCCACATGTTTGGTTGTCTTGTTAAGATTTTCTGTAATGTACACAGTTACGCTTGACTTGTCGACTTTCCACAATCTACTAAGGTATAGCATCGCATCAAAGTTTTTTTTTTTTTTTTTTTGGTCTAAACCATTTCTTATAATGTCAATTTGTAGGATACGCCGCTGTAAGGCGACCTACTTTTTTGTCACTGTGTAGACATCTATTTATAGGCCGATGTTTGGCCAGAAAGATATATTTAGTAATAACCTAGCCGTTCAAGCCGCTCACTGAACACCTCGGGAATTGCTTTGTATATCTGTTGCCTTAGGGGCCGCTGTCTGGCGACATAATTTTTTGTCACTGTGTAGACATCTATTTATAGGCCGATGTTTGGCCACAAAAATATATTTAGTAATAACCTAGCCGTTCAGGCCGCTCCCTGAACACCTCGGGAATTGCTTTGTATATCTGTCGCCTTAGAGGCCGCTGTCTGAACAGCTGAATTGCTTTCTATATGTGTCGCCTTTGAGGCCGCTGGCTGGACAGCTGATGAATTGATTTGTATATATGTACTTATTGTCCGCTGTCCGGACAGCTCATGAATTACTTTTTGTATATAGCCTTCCAAACCACTCTCAGAATAAGTCATGATATTCATGCTGTGTATAGCCTTATAGGCCAATGGTCAATCAAGTCATGATTGTTATAGTGTGTATAGCCTTATAGGCCGCTGTCTTTACAACTTTATAATTCCATGCAGTATATAGCCCTATCGGCCACTTTCTGGCATCCAGTTGCTGTAGCCCCCATCACCACACTGTGCCACGGGCCCCTGTACCGCCTTCTCATACTGCTGCCAGATCCATCCTCTGCCATGTGCGTCTTTGTCGTCTGCTCACGCTGCTGGGTTCCAGTTTTAAACCTAGGCCTGTGTATGGCTTCCGAATACTGCTGCCTCCACCGCCACCCTGCGCCATGTGCCTCTGTCGTCTGCTCACGCTGCTGACGGCTTCCGCTTTTTAAACTAGTCCTGTGTATGTCTTCCGAATACTGCTGCCTCCACCGCCACCCTGCGCCATGTGCCACTTTCGGGTCTCCTCACACTGCTGCCAGGTCCATACTGATTCATGGCCCCCTGTACCGGCTCCTCATGAACGTGGTTCAGCGGGTTTGCATCACTTAACGGCAAATCGTTGACAAATGCTGGGACGTTCAGTGTTGTGCGCATTAAGCCAGACACCAAAGGGCAGCACAGACCTGTTATTACTCGCTCAAGCATGGCTGAACAAAACCAGTCTCTACCACAAATTGGACCCAGACCTGCCCAGGGTCTCGTAACTAGATTGCACGGAGGCGTAGAGTCCATTATCGGAATTAAATAGACAAAACGCCACACCAAAAAGAGTGGCCATTTCCAACACTTATTCCAGAAAGAGGAACAACCCGTTTCATATACGGCCCGTAGACGTTTCACGTCTGCCACATTCAGTCGACTTAAGACGCAAGCTCCACTTCCTGTGGTCTCTGACCGTCGATATACCTTTAAGTGTCAGCTTTGAAGCCATATTCCCTCCGGAGCACTGACACTGGTGCCCTTCCGTCAACATGCCTTTAAGTTTCAGTTTTCAACCATATTCCCCACAGAAGCCAAACTCTTGGGTATCCCAGAAGCTGCTCAGCAGGTCAGGGCAATAAAGCTCCCGGTTCGCAGGTTGTTCCGTCTTATGGATGGAAGTACGACGGTATATGATCTTCTTCGCACCCACGGCATCACCTCATAGAATCTCTGCATTGCATCTGCAATCACAACGCTGACTTCCCGGATCGCCACTCAGCCATTGGACTCTTGATAGTCGTCTCCCCCATACACTGCTGCTGGGGGGACTTTTTAACCTAGGCCTGTGTATGGCCTTCAATTGAAGCTGCTTCCACTCCGCCACTCTGCCATTGGACTCTTGATAGTCGTCTCCCCACGCTGCTGCTGGGGGGACTTTTTAACATAGGCCTCTGTATGGCCTTTAATTGAAGCTGCTTACGCTCCGCCACTCTGCCATGGGCCTCTTGGGTATCCCAGAAGCTGCTCAGCGGGTCAGGGCAATAAAGCTCCCGGTTCGCAGGTTGTTCCGTCTTATGGATGGAAGTACGACGGTATATATGATCTTCTTCGCACCCACGGCATCACCTCATAGAATCTCTGCATTGCATCTGCAATCACAACGCTGACTTCCCGGATCGCCACTCAGCCATTGGACTCTTGATAGTCGTCTCCCCACACTGCTGCTGGGGGGACTTTTTAACCTAGGCCTGTGTATGGCCTTCAATTGAAGCTGCTTCTGCTCCGCCACTCTGCCATTGGACTCTTGATAGTCGTCTCCCCACACTGCTGCTGGGGGGACTTTTTAACATAGGCCTCTGTATGGCCTTCAATTTAAGCTGCTTACGCTTCGCCACTCTGCCATGGGCCCCTGTACCGCCTCCTCTTGCTGCTGCCAGGTCCAGAGTGTGTCATGGGTCCCTGTACGGCCTCCCATTGCTGCTGACTTCATCGCCAGACTCTGCCATGTGCCACTTTCAGGTCTCCTTACACTGTTGGTGGGTTCCATTTTGTGATAGGGTGCTGTATGGCCTTCCATTGCTGCTGCCTCCACCGCCACCCTGCGCCATGTGCCTCTGTCGTCTGCTCACGCTGCTGACGGCTTCCGCTTTTTAACCGAGGCCTGTGTTTGGCTTCCGAATACTGCTGCATCCACCGCCACCCTGCGCCATGTGTCTCTGTCGTCTGCTCACGCTGCTGACGGCTTCCGCTTTTTAACCTAGGCCTGTGTATGGCTTCAGAATAATGCTGCCTACACCGCCACCCTGCGCCATGTGCCTCTGTCGTCTGCTCACTCTGCTGCCAGGTCCATACTGATTCATGGCCCCCTGTAACGGCTCCTCATGAACGTGGTTCAGCGGGTTTGCATCACTTAACGGCAAATCGTTGACAAACGCTGGGACGTTCAGTGTTGTGCGCATTAAGCCAGACACCAAAGGGCAGCACAGACCTGTTATTACTCGCTCAAGCATGGCTGAACAAAACCAGTCTCTACCACAAATTGGACCCAGACCTGCCCAGGGTCTCGTAAGTAGATTGCACGGAGGAGTAGAGTTCGTTATTGGAATTAACTGTGAGGGACTTTTAAACCTAGGCCTGTGTATGGCCTTCAATTGAAGCTGCTTCTGCTCCGCCACTCTGCCATTGGACTCTTGATAGTCGTCTCCCCACGCTGCTGCTGGGGGGACTTTTTAACATAGGCTTCTGTATGGCCTTCAATTTTAGCTGCTTACGCTCCGCCACTCTGCCATGGGCCCCTGTACCAACTCCTCATGCTGCTGCCAGGCCCGTAATCTGCCATGGGCCCCCGTACCGACTCCGACCTCATGCTGCTGCCAGGCCCGTAATCTGTCATGGGCCCCTGTACCGCCTCCTCATGCTGCTGCCAGGTCCAGAGTGTGTCATGGGTCCCTGTACGGCCTCCCATTGCTGCTGTCTCCATCGCCACACACTCTGCCATGTGCCACTTTCAGGTCTCCTCACACTGCTGGTGGGTTCCATTTTGTCATAGGGTGCTGTATGGCCTCCCATTGCTGCTGCCTCCACCGCCACACTGTGGCTCCACACTCTGGTTTTGGCCCCGTGACTGCCCAAATGAGTGAAGTGTGCGGTGATTCTAAGATCGACGGCACTCATCTGCATGTCATACTGACTGACAGTATTATTTCTCTTCCCCAGCAGACTCCAAGGGCATTTAAATTAAAAGGTACAGTGTTCTGCACTAATATAAAGGCTCTCTGAAGCTAGAAACACCCTTTTTATAAGTTAAATTCGCAGCGAATATATTCGGCTCGAAGCGAATTTATTCGGCGAATTCGGCGAATCAGCCGAACCGAATTTTTGAATAATTCGCTCATCTCTAATGATAAATAATCATAAAAAATAATAATAATATATTTAATTCAATAATATAATCAAACCAAAAACACTGAAATGTGAAATAGAGCGCCAAGTTTGCACATCGCTGAGCAAAGTCGCAGAATCGTTTTCAGTGTCTGATGAGGAATTTCCCCCACGAATCATTATCACTCAATTCTGCAAGTGGTTCTGATTTACTATCGCTGTTCTCTAGCCGGTCTAAAACCACTTTTGACCTAAAGGGACACTTTTTGGACGCCATGGATGTTTCTCAGTTTCCAGGCAGAAAGAACAGTAAAAATTCAGGCAGGGCGCCGGACAAAGCACTCGGGACAAAATGTATGTGAAATGGTTTGATACAGGAATGTTATACTATGTGCTTTTAGTGTATTTAGTGAATGTCACTTTTTGTCATTTTCAAATTTCCCGCCAGTTCTGTCCCCCGTACGTCCCGACGTCGCAGGGAACAGAACCCGGAAGACAGATGCCGGCATCCGCCGGATTACATTGCCGGAGACACTGCAGGGGGGACATCGCGGGAGCGCAGGACAAGGTAAGTGAAGAACAGATCCCGGAGCAACGCTGCAGTGTATTCCCGAGTGTAGCTCGGGGTTACCGCTTGTGGTACTGAAACCTTACCCCGAGCTACACTCGGGAATACCGCCAGGGGGGTTAAAAGACAGCCACTCGCCTGTCCCTCGATCCTGCGGTGTCCCCCCCCCCCCCCCCGCAGCCCATTTCACCGGTTGTCCTGTGTTCCCGGAGCAGGCATCTTCAGTGAGGGCACCCGGATGTGACAGCGTTGCCCTTTGTGAATGGTTCCATAGTCTTCTGGGATCTGTCACCTGTCCCAGAAGACTATAGGGAGGAAGAGGGGGGGGAGACAACTTCCTCTTCTGAGTGCCTAGTTGGTCGCAGCGGAAATAGGAGCGGGTACTTGTCAATTTCAGGTACCCCCTTCCCAAAGGTGCCAATCTTTAATGGGGAGTGGGGGACTAGTCCTTAAAGCGGAACTTCCCCTTTTAGGTGGAGCTCTGCTTTAAAGTGTTACTAAATCCACATCAATAAAATCAGTCTGTATATGCAGGGAAGCATGCTTGTTCTACTCACTGTGGAACCTAAGGGGTTAATCCTCTGCATTGTGTAAAAAGGCTGTTTGATCCTGTCTTCTCTGATCTTCCCCCTATTGTCCCCAATCCATCTGCTGATAGTACAGAACTCTAGGAGTCACTCTGCACATGCTCAGTTTAGTGTGCATTGCTAGAGAGTGTATTTAGCGGTATTAGAGGTATTTAGCAGTTTATATTTACTACAATAATTGCATTTGAATGTAGGGTCCATGTTCTGTTTATTGTGGGAAACCACATATAGTGAATGTAGGGTCCCGGGTAGACCAGATATAGTGAATGCAGGGTCCGGGGAGACCAGATATAGTGAATGCAGGGTCCTGGGGAGACCAAATATAGTGAATGTAGGGTCCGGGTGAGACAGGATCCAGGTAAACCGGATATAGTGAATGCAATGCAGATATAGTGAATGCAGGGTCCGTGAATGCAGGGTTCGGGGAGACCAGATATAGTGAATGCAGGGTCCTGGGGAGACCAGATATAGTGAATGCAGGGTCCGGGGAGACCAGATATAGTGAATGGGTCAGGAGACCAGATATAGTGAATGCAGGGTCCGGGGAGACCAGATATAGTGAATGCAGGGTCCGGGGAGACCAGATATAGTGAATGCAGGGTTCCTGGGGAGACCAGATATAGTGAATGCAAGGTTCCTGGGAGACCAGATATATAGTGAATGTAGGGTCCGAGGAGACCAGATATAGTGAATGCAGGGTCCGGGAGACCAGATATAGTGAATGCAGGGTCCGGGGAGACCAGATATAGAGAATGCAGAGTCCGGGGGAGACCAGATATAGAGAATGCAGTGTCCGGGGAGACCAGATATAGAGAATGCAGGGTCCGGGGAGACCAGATATAGTAAATGCAGGGTCCAGAGAGACCAGATATAGTGAATGCAGGGTCCTGGGGAGACCAGATATAGTGAATGCAGGGTCCGGGGAGACCAGATATAGTGAATGCAGGGTCCGGGAGACCAGATATAGTGAATGCAGGGTCCGGGGAGACCAGATATAGTGAATGCAGGGTCCGGGGAGACCAGATATAGTGAATGCAGGGTCTGGGGAGACTGGATATAGTGAATGCAGGGTCCGGGGAGACCAGATATAGTGAATGCAGGGTCCGGGGAGACCAGATATAGTGAATGCAGGGTCCGGGGTTTTTAGTACCATTTTAAGTGATGGGAATCCTCTCTAAAAGTGCCCCAAAATTACAGTAAAAACCTGACAGGGGCTCTAATCCTTTTCCACTTTATCCAAAAGTTGTACAAAGTTTTGGCTGGATGTACACTTTAAATGGAAACTCAGCCAACATATATAAAGATAGCTATGTACGGTTTTTTTTAATATTGTTGCTTACTTCTGATGTAAAATCTAATGTAGGATGCTTGTGAAGATTTCACTTGAATGTATTTATCCCTACATTAGTTTTAAGCTAAAACAGGATTTCCATAATTTTTCAATTACCTTGAGATCTTTGAGTTCATAGTTGTAGAGGACAGCCCGAACTCCGACCTGTTCATTCCGCACTACTGAATAAGGCAGTCTCAGGTCAACATAGAAACTCTTGTAAGCCCGGATCTCCAATGGCTTGGCCACACAGATGCCTATTCATAGATAAAAGATGAAAATTAGAGAAAAATGTGTACATACGGTTGCTGTGTCTCAAATAGACATCCATAGGACTGCCTGCATAGGGATGCATGGGACACTGTGCATCCCTATGCAGGCAAAAACAGTCCTTTGTACAAGCGTATGCTTAAGTATGCCCATGTGAACAAGGCATTAACCCTTAAAAAGTCAACATTTAGCTCCATCAAGACCTCATCTGGAATATGCAGTTCAGTTTTGGGCACCAATTCACAAAAAGAACATTGGGGAACTGGAGAAAGTACAGAGAAGGGCAACCAAACGGATACAAAGCATGGAGGAGCTCAGCTATGAGGAAAGGTTAGAGGAACTGAATGTATTCTCTCTTGAGAAGAGGAGATTAAGGGGGATATGATCTCCATGTATAATACATAAGGGGGGATATGATCACCATGTATAATACATAAGGGGGGATATGATCACCATGTATAATACATAAGGGGGGATATGATCTCCATGTATAATACATAAGGGGGATATGATCTCCATGTATAATACATAAGGGGGATATGATCACCATGTATAATACATAAGGGGGGAAATGATCACCATGTATAATACATAAGGGGGGATATGATCACCATGTATAATACATAAGGGGGGATATGATCTCCATGTATAATACATAAGGGGGGATATGATCTCCATGTATAATACATAAGGGGGATATGATCTCCATGTATAATACATAAGGGGGGATATGATCTCCATGTATAATACATAAGGGGGATATGATCTCCATGTATAATACATAAGGGGGGATATGATCTCCATGTACAATACATAAGGGGGGATATGATCTCCATGTATAATACATAAGGGGGATATGATCTCCATGTATAATACCTAAGGGGGGATATGATCTCCATGTATAATACATAAGGGGGGATATGATCTCCATGTATAATACATAAGGGGGGATATGATCTCCATGTATAATACATAAGGGGGGATATGATCTCCATGTATAATACATAAGGGGGGATATGATCTCCATGTATAAAACATAAGGGAGGATATGATCTCCATGTATAATACATAAGGGGGGATATGATCTCCATGTATAATACATAAGGGGGGATATGATCACCATGTATAATACATAAGGGGGGATATGATCTCCATGTATAATACATAAGGGGGATATGATCTCCATGTATAAAACATACATAAGGGGGATATGATCTCCATGTATAATACATAAGGGGGGGGGATATGATCACCATGTATAATACATAAGGGGGATATGATCTCCATGTATAATACATAAGGGGGGATATGATCTCCATGTATAATACATAAGAGGGGATAGGATCTCCATGTATAATACATAAGGGGGGGGGATATGATCACCATGTATAATACATAAGGGGGGATATGATCACCATGTATAATACATAAGGGGGGATATGATCTCCATGTATAATACATAAGGGGGGATATGATCTCCATGTATAATACATAAGGGGGGATATGATCTCCATGTATAATACATAAGGGGCATATGATCTCCATGTATAATACATAAGGGGGGATATGATCTCCATGTATAATACATAAGGGGGGATATGATCTCCATGTATAATACATAAGGGGGGATATGATCTCCATGTATAATACATAAGGGGGGATATGATCTCCATGTATAATACATAAGGGGGATATGATCTCCATGTATAATACATAAGGGGGGATATGATCTCCATGTATAATACATAAGGGGGGATACGATCTCCATGTATAATACATAAGGGGGGATACGATCTCCATGTATAATACATAAGGGGGGATAATACATTCAGATCTCCGTGTATAATACACAAGGGGGGATAATACATACGATCTCCGTGTATAATACACAAGGGGGGATATGATCTCCGTGTATAATACATAAGGGGGGATATGATCTCTCTGTGTATAATACATAAGGGGGATATGATCTCCATAAGTATAATACATAAGGGGGGGATATGATCTCCATGTATAATACATAAGGGGGGGTATAATGGGGGGGATATGATCTCCATGTATAATACATAAGGGGGATATGATCTCCATGTATAATACATAAGGGGGGGATATGATCTCCATGTATAAATACATCAGTGGTTCATATAGTGAACTCGGTGCAGAGTTACCCACCCTGAGGTCATCACAGAGGACAAGGGGGCACTCTTTATATCTGGAGGAAAAGAAATTTAATCTCCAAACACGGAAAGGTTTCTACACAGTAAGAGCTGTGAAAATGGAATAGACTCCCTCAAGATTTGGTTCTGGCCAGCTCAGTGGATTGCTTCAAAAAAGTCCTGGATTCTTTCTTGGATTCACAGAATATAACTGGATACTAACATTTATAGGTACAGTAGATACAGGGAATATCCGATTGCCTCTCGGGGGATCAGGAAGGATTTTTTTTCTCAGCAGAAGCAAATCGGATCGTGCTTTGCTGGGTTTTTTGCCTTCCTCTGGACCAACTGTGGGTACAGGATTGTAACAGGATGGACTTTTGTCTTTTTTCAGCCAGACTAACTATGTAGTATACTGTTGAGAATATAAGGAATGTCAAAGAAGGAGAAAATGTGCCAACTTTAAAGAAGGGCTTTGCATAGTTGAACCAAGAATTTCCAGAAGACTAGTATGTGATTCAGACAACTCTACAACAGTGTCTTACTACTTCTGTTAAGTTCTATGATGTGTAAAGTGGGAGCTTTCATCTTAACCTTGAAGACCACTGACACTAAGTCACAATAAGGATTCCTCAACTCTCAACTACCTAAGACAGGAGAATCAGTTTTAGGTGGCCTGACCCTTAAATCTCAGCTGTATTCCCCTATCAACTGCCTCAGCAGAAAGATATACTGTAGGAACTCATGCCATGCAAGGGATCACGGTGCTGCGATCTGTTCTACTTATATATTGTTTTATCTGTGTAATATTGAACTGAATCATTTTGCCTTTGTTTGATGTATGCTGACATCTAATGGCAATTTGTGCCACATCTATGTGATTTGGTTTCTACCCTTGTCCCGCCCTCCTGTTTAGGGCCAGTTAATTCAGACGTAACTAGCCCCTCCCTGTTTTTTTTTCTGAGCTCCCTCAATCAGTGTTAGTTCTTCCAAGAGACAGGGTTTAGAAAAGTCCTTGTCTTTAAAAGACTGAAAAAACACCATCTGTGCTGCAATAATCTAAAGTAAAATTGCACTGGATTCTGTATCACGTTAAAGAGTTAAGCTGTCTGTGGAGTGTGGCAAGTCTGCAGGTGACCATACTGTCTGGACAGCCTTGGTCTACTCTATAGGGTTATGTCAATGCATGAAGTGTCATTGGAAATAGAACAAGCTGAATGGTGCTCTGTGTGACATAAAGTAATTCATCCCCCATACTAGTAATTCAAACTTGACTTTTGCATGCATCAGGTCCTTCATCGTAATTGATTTTTCGTTTATAAACCTTAATTTGTGCAATACACAATGTGGCCATGATCAGCCTAGTTTAATAGCTCTTTTCTGTGAGTGGTACAGTATATCGCAATACAAGAACAGAAATAGGGTACATCACACTTGTCAAATTTGGAAGTATCTATTACCTTTAGTTTTTGATAAGCTCACAGCCAGCACCTCCCATGTGGTGATTGAGTCTTTTAGGTATTTGTTCTTCACCTGCTGCGTGGAGACACTGATGAAAGATGAACATGTTAAAGGACAACGATTCATTTTGATTTATTGTTACAAAGTTTATACAATGTATACACTTCAGCCCTTCCTATTTAACGTGATACTAAACCCAGGAACCTGCATTCACTATATCTGGTCTCCCCGGACCCTGCATTCACTATATCTGGGCTCCCTGGACCCTGCATTCACTATATCTGGTCTCCCCGGACCCTGCATTCACTATATCCGGTCTCCCCGGACCCTGCATTCACTATATCCGGTCTCCCCGGACCCTGCATTCACTATATCTGCTCTCCCCAGACCCTGCATTCACTATATCTGGTCTCCCCGGACCCTGCATTCATTATATCCGGTGTCCCCGGACCCTGCATTCATTATATCTGGTCTCCCCGGACCCTGCATTCACTATATCTGGTCTCCCCAGACCCTGCATTCACTATATCCGCTCTCCCCGGACCCTGCATTCACTCTATCTGGTCTCCCCGGACCCTGCATTCACTCTATCTGGTCTCCCCGGACCCTGCATTCACTCTATCTGGTCTCCCCGGACCCTGCATTCACTCTATCTGGTCTCCCCGGACCCTGCATTCACTATATCTGGTCTCCCAGGACCCTGCATTCACTATATCTGGTCTCCCAGGACCCTGCATTCACTATATCTGGTCTCCCCAGGACCCTGCATTCACTATATCTGGTCTTCCCGGACCCTGCATTCACCTATATCTGGTCTCCCAGGACCCTGCATTCACTATATCTGGTCTCCCGGACCCTACATTCACTATATCAGGTCTCCCTGGACCCTGCATTCACTATATCTGGTCTCCCTGGACCCTGCATTCACTATATCTGGTCTCCCAGGACCCTGCATTCACTATATCTGCTCTCCCACAGTACACACAACATGGAAATGCAAATATTTTAGTAAATTTAAATTGCTAAATACCTTTTCTCATCAGCAGTATATAGCAGTCTTGTGACTTCTATCAGTGTTCAGCAGAGCACTGGTTAAAGCTTGTAGGAAAGTTTTCGTTCTGCTCTAGGAGGATGCAAAACCTTTGACTTCTGTCTGGACAGTGCTGATTGGCCCTGTGCTGATCATATGCGCTCTCCCAAGAAAAAAAAAAAAACCTCTATAGCAATACACACTAAACTGAGCATGCGCAGAATGGCTATGGTTCAATCTGTCTTATCAGGAGATAAGATGTGGACCTTTAAATGGGAGGAGGATTCTAGAAGACAGGATCAAACAGCCTTTTTACACAATGCAGAGGATTAACCCCTTAAGCTCCATAGTGAGTATAACAAGTATGATTTACTGCATCTACAGACTGATTGTACTGTTGTGGGTTTAGTAACACTTTAACATCAGAATCACGTTTAGTGGGCCTTGTTGCCAGCCAGCAGGACTGATGGATGGTGCATTCTGTAATCCCTCCACTCTTCACATTAATCAGCTTTCTGTAATCTTGTAAAACTTGTAGTACCGCCCTAAACTGAGGCGTAAGTCTCCCCGTCAGGTACAGTGAAGGGAAATGGCCCCTGTGCACCATTCAGAGGTGTAGCGACATTGTCAAGGAAAAAAGGACGCCGCTCAACAACCTGATGCTTCGTATATAGATTAATGTGGCTTCAGCCATGCCCCTTGATGTGTTTCGCCCCACCCACTGGGGGCGTGGTCCAAGAGGTGACCAAGCCCCATTGGGTGGGGGGAAATGCATCAGAGGGTGTAGTTGGAGCGACACTGGCTGAGGCCATATTCATCTATATACTAAGCATTGAGTTGGCTGCACTGAGCCACCACATATAGCCTTCACTATTAATGGGCCGAACATACCAGGGTTGGAGGCAGGTCCACCATGACCAACGTTCAGACACTAAATCTGAACCCCACAAAAGTTAATGAGAGCAAATGTTATGGAATAGTAATGGCCATTTCCTAGGCTAATAGGCAAGAGATTATCAAACAAATGGCATTGGGCGGCAGACCCTTAAGCCAACCATTGATGGATCAAAATTCGATAGGTTCAGTAGAAACCATTCGAACTTCAATCCATCTATGGGCGGGCTGGTTGTACTGAAGTCGAATTATCAATTACCTACAGTACAACCAGCCTGTCAGGGTTTTTTGCCAAATTATTGCCGGTGGCTATAGCTGCCAGCCAGTAGTGTATTTAAGTTTCATGCTGCCCTAGGCACCACAAAAATAGGCTCCCATCCCCCCACGGAGAGACCCTGACACCTTCACAGCTCTGAACATCCCTGGGAACAAGAGGCATGGTCTGCATACACCATCAAGCAACCTCTCTCAGATCCCACCTGGTCCCCATGCTGTGCTCCTTCTTCCATCCCTTCTTCTGGGGGGCAGCGCTGCCCCCCTGAAAAATGCCACCCTAGGCAAATGCCTTGCCTGCCTTGTAGTAAATACGCCCCTGCCGCCAGCAGTGATCACTGTATTCTGCCGATAGGGAAGGCTCCCCTCGCTCCCCGTCAGCAGAACTCAATTGCACTGCAGGAAGGATTCCCACATCAACATGGACTGCGTTGTTGAGGGAATTGGGCAATTTTCTTTCCTTCAACCCGTGGATGAAGGAATTAAAGTTGAATAATGTATAACCTACCTTAATGGAAAAAAATTTGCATCAAATAACATGCCTGGGGGATGCCCTGACCCTGCCTGCTGAGTGGGGCATCTGTGCAATGTATACAACCTAGTAAAGTAAAACTGATGTTTACAAAGAAAAGAGTGTGATTAACTACTTTCCCGCCGCCCTATAGCAGAAATACCGCTACAGGGTGGCAGGGGTGCGCAAAATCACGTATATATACGTAATTTTGCATTTTCAGGTAGGGGGCGCGGCGAGCCACGTGCATGCCCTACCCGCGCCACCATTGGCAGCCTCACCTGTCGATCACTGGGTCCCGGCCGGTGATTCCCCGCCGGCATAGCTGTGTATCACCGATGGGGGAGAGACCGGTATGTAAACAATGCAGATCTCTCCCCCGTCAGCTCCTGCACACTGCTTTGTATGGCTCTGTATAACAGAGTCATATAAAGCAATGTGCTTACACAGTAAAGCATAGACACAGCACACTGTAAAACAGCACACAGTTAACCCTTTGATCACCCCAGATGTTAACCCCTTCCTGCCCAGTGTCATTAGTACAGTGTCAGTGCTTTTTATTAGCACTGATCACTGTATTGGTGTCACTGGGGATATCAGTGACACCACGTCAGTTCCCCCCCAAGTGTCAGAATGCCCTCTGCAGTCCCACTATAAGTCGCTGATCGCCCCCATTACTAGTATTAAAAAAAAAATCCCAGTATGTATACCACCATTTGTAGATGCTATAACTTTCACGTAAACCAATTAATTTACACGTATTGGGATTTTTTTTTTAGCAAAGACATGGAGCAGAATACATTCTGCCCTAAATTTATGATGAAATTTGATTTTTTAAATTTTTTTACTGGACATGTTTAATAGGAAAAAATTCAAAAATATTTTTTTTTTCTCAAAATGGTCAGTCTCTTTTTTGTTCATAGCGCAAACAATAAAAAACCACAGAGATGATCAAAGACCATCAAAAGAAAGCTCTATTTGTGGGAAAAAAGGATATAGATTTAATTTGGGTGCAGTGTTGCATGACCGCGCAATTGTCAGTTAAAGTAACACAGTGCTGTATTGCAAAAAAATGGCCTGGTCAGGAAGGGGGTAAATCCTCTGCAGGGCAAGTGGTTAATTTGCTAGCAAAATGACAGTTCCCAGGAGCTTTGTTCTGTTTGTAAACAAAGAAACTGGGGATTCCCTTTATCTACTATATACCAGACCCTTATCCTAGATGAGGGTCTAATATAGGTGTTGTTGGGGGACTCCCACATAAACAAAACAAAAATGTCACAGGGCTCCTCCCCAATTCATACTTCACATCTAGTATGAATTTTATAACTGAGCCCATGCAAAAAAAAAAAAAAAATGGCACAAGGTCCCCACAAATAAAATAAGGAAAATTGCGAGTCTCTCCCCCAAAAAATTCCACATTAGACTCCTATCTGGGTATGACGGCACTGAATCTCAGTGATCTCTGACCATCCATTGCCCATATATGGTCAATGAGACCACACCCCTTTGTTTATAACAGCTGGCATTTGGCAGGAATGAAGTGTCAGGAACAGACGTGGGTCACCAGTTGTAACTTTTTCTTTTAGGAGGGATGGCTTGGATCTACCTTGCTGGTTGAAGTGATTGATGATGGATTTGCATCTTTTTTATTTATACTAAGAACTTTACATTTTTTTTTGTGAATGAGTAGGGGTAATATGAACCACTTTATCAATCACATGAAGGGGGAGGGGCGGTATTTGGGTGCCTCCTATTTGTGGAAGGGGGCTTCCAAACCCCCTCCCCCACCATGTTGAGGACATGTGGTCTGGTTATTTTAAGGAAGCTGGGGGATAGAGAAAGATTACGTCTATCCCCTTCTTTCCTTGCCTGCCAGGCTGCATGCTTGGCTTAAGGGTCTGTTGTGGATTTTTATGGGGACTTCACTTTTTTTTTTTTAATTATTATTGCATGGGGTTTCCCCTTAAAATCTATTGCAGAACTGAAGTGGGAACCCCCTGCCGTTTTTCCTTTTTTTTTGCTTACATAGCCAGGGATTCCCAGCCATGTAAGTGAATGGGGCAAGTTACATATCTGGTTACTAAGGACTCAGTCTGCACCTGCCAGTGTAATTAACAACCATTGACAGAGAGATACTGTCATGTATAATCCTGATAGTAATATTGCTATTGTAACGCCCTCCAGGATAGAGAGCAGCGGTGGACTGACCATTTGGAAACTCGGGCATTCCCCGAGGGCCCGGGGTCAGTAGGGGGCCCCATGAGATGCCCCTGGTACCTTTTTCATAGGTTTTTTTGAGTTTGGGCAAGGACACAGGGGCCCCATGATCCCCTATTGCCCGGGGGCCCCATGAGTTGTCAGTCCGCCCCTGATAGAGAGATAGGCTTTTTGTTAGATAGAGGCTGAGTAGCAGCCTGGGATGAGTCAGGCTGGGAGTGAGGTATTGAGTTGAAGACAGGCTGGGAGGTTCTACAGGTCAGGGCTTCTGGAGCCCTCCCATCTTTCCAGAAGCCAGATAACTTTCTGGAACAGGGAAGGAGAAGGGGAGGAGGCCCAGATCTGCATGTTGGCTGGGCTTGGTGACCAGGGCAACCTTCAAATATGACAGAGCCTGGGGAGAGAGAGGAGTCAGGTGGAAGATGGATTGGGAGAAGGCTGGAGTGTGGAGCCTGGAAGAGGGCCCCAGGGATGGGAGCCTACCTACAGGCAGGATGCTGGACTGGAGGATCTCTACTGCCTCAACGTTTCCTCAGGAGGACAACCTGTTAGCAGGGAAGGAGCCAACCCAGCAAAAGGCCTGACAGCAGCTACCAATCCACCATGCTGACAGGCGAGGACAGAGTACTCTTACACTCCCTGGGCCGGATAGGGGGAGAGGGCAATCAGGTGCAATACCCAATTAGTGTTCACCTGGGACTGCTTAACTGCAAGCTCTTGAGACCCCCTTGCTCAGCAATACCCTAAGCACAGTTGGGTGAAGAGGAGGATTCATCTGGGGTCTGAGGAGGTACAACAAAAAGGGACAGTGCTCTGTTTTTGCCAGCTAAATAGCTGCTAAGAAGTTTGTCCTCAAGTTCTGCAGTTCCTTGGGGATCCCATATACCCCTATACCCGATCCAAGTTGTTTACCCCTAATAAAAACCACTAAAAACCAGCTCAAAGACTGTTTTACTGACTCTGGAGATACAAGTGTGGAAAATGCTAGTTGCGCAAAGCTTCGGGGGACCCAAATCAAATCCAATGGTCCTTATGGAGGTAGTGCTACACTATCACGCATGGCATTCAGTTCCCACCAAATAGGTAAGTGTTTGGCCATTTCTTCCAATGCCTGAACAGCCAAGGTTTTGTCCAAACACAAGGTAGGACCTCAGGCCCAACCCTAGTCAACACTGGAGCCTGTGACATACTGAATACATCAGGCACTCACGCATTAACATCCGGTTTTGCGGTGATTTTGATAATGTGCCACAACCAACTCTCATCAAATTCACTCCGGACCACAATGTCTTTATCTTTCATGTAATCCACTTCATTGTCACCTGGAAGGGAGGAAGCAGATTAGAGGTAAAAGACTGAAATATATGGCAGATTAGGTATGACTTCTTCAGGGCTTAAAGTGTATCTATAGCCAAAACTTTGGGGGTTTTTTTAGATT